GGTGTAACGGTGACTGGTGAAAACGGTGGTGACTTCCTGTGGTGACTTTAGTGATGTTGTCGCTGTTGACAGCGTTGTTGTCAATGGTGGGGCTGCCTTGGTGTTTGTGGTGAGGTGGAAACGGCGACATTGAAACGGCGGTAGCGGCCGGAAGCAGCGACATCACCGGATTCTCGAGGGCACAACAAGCACGAAAGGAAGTGGGTGTGCCCGAACCTGGCGTGGGATGAGAAAATAGCAGCATCAGCACAGGCATGGGCAGCCTTCCTGGCATCCCTCGGTGCCCTCTGAGAACAATGGATAAGAGGGGTTCGGGAAGAACCTCTATTGGCTGTCGTCCGCAGAGCTAACCCAGGGAGGATCGTAGGGCGGTTCAGTCATGGGTGGAAGAAAGGCGGACTGGACCCCCAGCCCGGTTCCTGATGGGTGTGCGGAGGCAAGATGTGTGGGCACTACACGCAGGTGGTATGGCGCGAGACTGTCAAATGTTGTAGCCTGTAGTGAGGTTTGTCTTAGGTACAGAAGTTAGGGTTTGTCATATGTACCCCAACCAACATCAATGCAACACTCATTCCTCATTCTGACATGGTATCAGCTAGGTTAGGATCCTGTGGGATCCCGTTCCTCCGTTCTCCGTTCGTACCTCCCGAGCCTGATCCTACCTCTCGTTCGTACCAGTTTCGTAGTTACCGCGCCTAGTACCGAGCCTAGCGTCATCTCCCCCGTCGCGTCACGCCTGTTCCCCCCCCGTCGCGTCACGCCCGTTCCCCCTGTCACGTCGCGCCCGTTCCCCCGTCGCGTCGCGCCCGTTCCCCCGTCGCGTCGCGCCCGTTCCCCCTGTCGCGTCGCGCCCGTTCCCCCCGTCGCGTCGCGCCCTTCCCCCCGTCGCGTCGCGCCTGCCTGTTACCCCCCCCCGTCCCGTCGCCCTGTCCCGTCGCGTCGCCCTGTCCCGTCGCCCTGTCCCGTCGCCCTGTCCCGTCGCGTCGCCCTGTCCCGTCGCGTCGCCCTGCCCTGTCCCGTCGCGTCGCCCTGCCCTGTCCCGTCGCCCTGTCCCGTCGCGTCGCCCTACCCCGTCGCGTCGCCCTGCCCTGTCCCGTCGCCCTGCTCCGTCGCGCCGCCCTGCCCCGTCGCGTCGCCCTGTCCCGTCGCGTCGCCCTGCCCCGTCGCGTCGCCCTGACCTTTCCCCCGTCGCGTCGCCCTTCCTAGGCCCTGGCCCGTCGCCCTACCCTAGGCCCTGGCCCGTGCCCTACCCTACGTCTTGGCCGTCGTCCTAGCCCACTCTTCCGCTGCGACTGAGTCCTCTTCCCCCCCCGGTTGTTACTCGCCTGTTCGTTCTCACTATGGCGACTCCGCGAGTTCTTCGTTTCGACGCCGACGGTAGACCCCTTGACTTTTCCGTCTGGCTTCTTTCGCGCTCGTCGTCTGTTAGAGAGTCAGGTCCAGGGGGGCGAGACCCTCTGGTCACACGCTACTGGTGACCTCCCCGAGCCCCCGAGCCTACAGCTTTAGGCCCTGCTCCTGACGATGCTGCTACGGCTCGCTTTGCCCGTCAGCGCGCTGACCGGACGGCTTGGACGTCGCGTGACGCTGCGGCCTGCATCGCACTCAGCAGCCTCCTCCCTGAGTCCGAGGAGGTCCACTTTACTCAGGTTCGCACCGCTGCTGCGTACCTCACTGCGATTAAGGCCCGCTACTCTACTCCCTCGCTACTGTCTCTCTCGGCCGTCTTTTCCTCCCGTTCCTGTTTCCTGATCTTGCCTCGTTTGAGCGCTCTGCTGACTTGATCGCTCACCTCCGCTCGCTTGACGCTAGTTACCGCGCTGCTTGCACTGAGGCACAGCTTGCACTGCTTCCTCCCCCCATGGCGATTACTGTCTATTTCATCGCCACTAGCCTCCCTGACCGCCTTGCCTCCGTTCGTGACGCGCTTCTGCTGAAGCACCCTAGTGAGCTGACTATCGAGGTCCTTGAGTCTGCACTCAAGGATGTCGAGAGCAACCTTCGTTCGGTAGCTGCCGCCTCTGGTACTGTATCCCCCCCACTCTTCCACGGGTGCACAGTCCCGCAGTTACCCACCTTCACTGCCTCTCTTGCCACTGCCGCTACTGACGCGACTGCGGCTGCTGTTACGACTGCGTCGCGGTCCCGCGGCAGGGGGGGCAAGAAAGGTGGTTCCGGTGGAGGTGGAGGCGGAGGTAGCGGAGGTAGTGGGGGTGCTGTTGCGACTGGCGGTGGTGGGAGTGCAGCGTCTGGAGAGACCCCTCGTGCAGCGGCCGGTGACTCCACTGCACCTGCTGGTGGCAGCGACCCTCGAGCTCGTCAGTCGCCTCCTGTACTGTCGGCCCCGCTAGGTGGAGCAGCGGCGTGGTACCAGGCTCAGCGTCAGCAGCACCTTCAGCAGCAGCAGCAGCCCCTTTCCTCCCAGCAGCCTCAGCAGCAGCAGCGTCAGCAGCTGGCTCCGGGGTCGGGGCTGCGTCAGCCCCAGCGCGGTGCTGCTTACCCTCCCTGCCCCTACCAGGTTCAGACAGGTCCTCGTCGGGGCCACCCTTGTGGCCGCTTTCACCCCCCTGGTCAGTGCTTTGCTCAGCTCACTGACACGGTCCGGTTGACCTACGGGGTTGGCGGTCCTGCTCCTGACTGGCTTCCTCTGGTTCAGCGCTACGGCTCCGCTCTGTGGGGCATGTCTGCTGAGCAGTTAGTTGATCTGATTAGTGCTCCTCATGCTATGTATGCTGTTGTTGACTCTAGTGTTTCTGACTCTGTTTACTCTGGTGTTGTTAGCTTAGGTGCTAATCTTGCTGAGTTGCCTGTTGCTAGTGTAGGTACTTGTGTAGACTCTAGACCAGCGACTACCTCAGAGGACGCTTCGCTGTCGTTCACACTGGACTCTGGAGCCTCCCACTGCTTCTTTCGGGACAGCACGACACTTACACCACTTCCTGCGCCTGTTTCTGTAGCGTTGGCTGATCCCACTACGGGACCAGTCACTGCACGTCACACTACCACTTTACCGTGTCCTGCTGCTCCCTCCGGGTCTCTCACTGGGTTTCACGTCCCCTCGTTCTCCCCGGAACTTGGTGGGCGTGCGACCCCTCGTGAGCCAGCACGTGGGTGTGTGGTTTGAGCCTTCTGGAGAGACTGCGGTGTGTGTTGACGGAGACTCTTACCAGCCTCTTGCTACCTTTACTGCTGAGCCGGGCTCGGGTCTCTACACTCTTCACACTGGCCCGCGTGCGCCGCAGCAGCAGCCGCAGCAGCAGCAGCAGCCGCAGCCGCAGCAGCAGCAGCAGCAGCAGCACCAGCGGCCGCACCAGCAGCCCCCCCTACTGCCACTGCCCCCGGTTCCCCCCCCCGTTCGGGTCCCCGCGTCTCACCAGGTTGCTACGTCCCCCCAGGTGTCTGTGTCGTGTCAGGTTCCTCCGTCTGTTCCAGTCGCTGCGTCGTGCTCCTGCCGGTCGCTTGCCCACCCCACCGTTCTGTGGCACCACCGGATGGGGCACCCGTCCCTTCCACGTCTGCGCGCTATGTCTAGTCAGCGTCTTGTCCTAGGCCTCCCACGTGTCTTGCCGTCGCTGCCGCCTTCGCCTGCGCCGCCGTGTCGTCCCTGCGTCGAGGGTAGGCTGCGCGCCACCCCTCACTCCTCCTCCCTTCGTCCGGCCACCGAGCCTTTTGAGACGCTTCACTTGGACGTCTGGGGCCCAGCCCCTCGTCTAGGCCCTGAGCGTGAGCGTTACTTTCTGGTGGTCGTTGACGACTTCTCCCGCTACACCACAGTGTTCCCTCTGGCGAAGAAGTCTGAGGTGACTTCTACGCTGATCAGGTGGTTGCTCACCACCGAGGACACTCGTGGTCGTCGTGTCAGCTGTCTCCACTCCGACCGTGGGGGTGAGTTTCGCTCCGGCATTCTCGCTGGATTCTGTCGCGAGCAGGGCATTCGTCAGTCCTGGACGCTTCCAGAGTCCCCACAGCAGAATGGGGTTGCTGAGCGCCGCATAGGCCTGGTCATGGAGATCGCCCGCACCTCCCTGACTCACGCCTGTGCCCCCCATTTTCTGTGGCCCTACGCGGTCAGGTACGCCGCGCACCAGCTGAACCTCTGGCCACGTGTCTCTCGACCAGAGGTTTCACCGACCAGTCTTTGGACAGGGTTCCCTGGTGTTGCGTCGCGGTTTCGTGTCTGGGGGTGCTTGGCTCTTGTCCGCGACACCTCCGCGGACAAGCTCTCGCCTCGTGCCGTCCCCTGTGTCTTCCTTGGTTTCCCTGAGGACTCCTCTGACTTCACCTTTTACCACCCTCCCTCTCACCGGTTCTTTGACTCCCGTGACGTCCGTTTCGAGGAGTCCACTCCGTACTACGTCAGGTACCCCAGTCGAGGTCTCCCGGTTCCTCCTCCCCCCCTCTTCCTGACTGCCGTTCCCCCTCCTGCTCCCCCGGTACAGCCTCCCCCCCCTGGTCCAGCCCCGTCAGGTGTGTCCCAGGCTACCCCTCCTCCTTCGGTAGCCCCTCCGGTACAGCCTCCCTCCCCACAGTCCTCCTCGCAGCGTGCCGCTGGTGCTAGCTCTCGAGAGGTTGGTGCGACGCCTGTTCCTGTACCGGTTTCTGGTTCTGGGGGTGCTGGAGTTAGAGCTGGAGTTGGAGCTGGAGTTGGAGCTGGAGTTGGCACTGGAGTTTCTGGTTCTGGGGGTGCTGGAGTTGGAGCTGGGGTTGGAGCTGGAGTTTCTGGTTCTGGAGTTGGAGCTGACCAGGTGGGTGCAGAGGACGCTTGTCGTCCGGGAGCTGGTGCTGGCCGCGCGGACACTGGGGGTGCTGCGTCTGGGGGTGAGGGTGCGCCTCCTTTGGGTTCAGGTGAGCCTGGGTCTGGAGCTTGGTGTTAGTGCTGCCTCTGGGGGTGGTGAGCCTAGTTCTTCTGGAGTGGACTCTGGAGCTTGCCGCTGCTTCGGACACTACTCCGCCCCCCCACCCCTACCCGACTAGGCACCAGGCTCGTGTTCGCCGTGCCCGTGACGATCCTGGCGTTGGAGAGAGAGGAGAGGGAGTTACAGCGGCTGGAGGGAGCAGCAGCAGCAGCTGGGACCCGCAGGAGCAGCAGTCCCAGCAGCAGCCGCGTCCGCAGCAGCAGCAGTCGCAGCCGCCAGCAGCAGCAGCCACTTCCTCCTCCTGTCTCGGGTCTTCGGATCCTTGGTCTCCCCTCCCCTTCTCCTCCCCTCCTCCGCCTCTCCTCCTGTCTACGGTCCCACGTTTCCTCCTCCTGACTCCTCCCCCGCTGTTTTCCCCAGTTCTCCGCCCTTGTCCTCTTCTCCTCCGTCTCGTTCTTGGGCTACTCGTCGCTCCCCTCGTGCTCGTCCCTCGTCTCCTGTTCCCTTCACTGACCTTCGTACTGCCTTCCTTCTTTCTAGTCCACCTCGTCCGTCTCAGTCTGTGCTTCCGTCTCCTCCTGAGTCGGCCCTCACTGTGTCGCTCCCTACTCCTGTCACTGACTACTACCGCACGTACCGTCCTGTTCTCTCTCGTGTTCTCGCCTCTCTTGTTACTCACCCTCGTGCCTCTGTGTCCTCTGTGTCCGCTCTTACTGCCGCAGTTACTGACTTTGCCTCTACCCGCCGCCTTGACTACGCCACCACGCTTGTGGCTGCTCCTCCTACCAGTCCTCTGGCCGTCGGGGGTGTGTCTGCCCTTGGCCGTGACGCCCTAGAGGACAGGCAGTTTGAGCTAGAGTTCCTGGCGGCCGCTTCCCCTCATCTCTGTGCCATGCTCCTCGCCCCTGAGGGTGACCCCGACGCCCTTGACATTCCGACTCCTCGCACTTACGCTGAGGCAGTGTCAGGGCCTTGGGCCTCTCAGTGGAGAGCTGCCATGGACGCAGAGATGGCCTCCTACAGATCCACAGGCACCTACGTCGATGAGGTTCCCCCCCGGGGGCGAACGTAGTCGACGGCATGTGGATCTACAGGGTGAAGCGGCCACCGGGATCTCCCCCGTCTTCAAGGCGCGCTACGTGGCTAGAGGTTTCAGTCAGCGCGAGGGAGTTGACTTCTTTCAGACCTTCGCACCTACCCCGAAGATGACCACTCTTCGGGTGTTACTACACGTAGCAGCACAGAGAGACTACGAGTTACACTCTCTTGACTTCTCCACTGCTTTCCTTCAGGGCAGCCTACACGAGGAGGTCTGGTTGCGTCGTCCCTCGGCCTTCACTGGCACCTTCCCTCCTGGGACCCAGTGGAGGCTGAGGCGACCTGTTTACGGTCTTCGCCAGGCCCCTCGTGAGTGGCACGACACTCTGCGTTCTACCCTCTCTGACCTTGGGTTCCAGCCGTCTTCTGCCGACCCGTCGCTGTTCGTTCGTCGTGGCTCCACACCGTTCTTTGTTCTGGTTTACGTCGACGACCTCGTTTTTCGCCACTCCGGACAGGGTTGCTTTGGCAGACGTGAAGTCCGAACTGCAGAAGAGACACACGTGCACTGATCTTGGTGAACTGCGCCACTACCTTGGCCTGCAGATCACCAGGGACAGAGCCGCTCGCACCATTACACTCTCACAGTCACACATGGTGCAGCAGGTCCTTCAGCGGTTCGGGGCTTCAGCACTCCACCGTACAGCGCACACCTCTAGCTGTTGACCACAGACTCACTGGTCCCTTTCCTGACGAGCCGTTTGAGCCTAGTGGTCCCTACGCAGAGCTTGTGGGTTGCCTCATGTACCTGATGACTTGTACTCGCCCGGACCTCGCCTTCCCTCTCAGCATCCTTGCGCGCTTTGTTGCGCCAGGGAGACACCGTCCTGTTCACTGGACGGCAGCTGTGAGGGTGGCGAAGTACCTAGCGACTACATCAGGCGTGGGGCTAGTTCTTGGAGGGCAGCAGTCTGTCGTACTCACTGGTCACTGTGACTCCTCTTACGCTGACGACGCTGAGACTCACAGGTCTACTCAGGGGTACTGTTTCAGTCTGGGTTCTGGAGCTGTTTCCTGGCGTTCCACGCGCTCCTCTTCTGTCTCGACCTCTACAGCTGAGGCTGAGATTTACGCTGGTGCCATGGCGGCACAGGAGTTGCGGTGGTTGACCTTCTTGCTCACTGACCTTGGTGAGCGGCCGAGCTCTGCACCGACCTTGTTTACTGACAACAAGGCGTCGATCCTCCTCTGTCGTGAGCCGCGACTGGAGAGCAGAGTGAAGCACATTCACATCAGGTACTTTCTTCTGCGAGAGTTGCAGAGGCGTGGACAGGCTCGCTTCGAGTTCGTAGAGTCCGAGGCCAACACTGCAGACATCTTCACCAAGGCGCTTCCGCCTTGTGACCACCAGAGGTGTTGTGTGCAGTTAGGCCTTGTTGACACAGGTTCTAGTCATGCGTAGACTTGAGTTTATTGCCTGCTTCGTCTGTACATTTACTATATATACTTGTGATCTCTTGGACTGGCCTTGTGGCCACTGTTGCTTGTGCTCAGAGTGTGTGGTGACGTTGTGATCCACCCTGAGCTTTGTTTTCTTTTGGACTGGTCTTGTGACCGTACTCTTTTTGTTTTTGCTAGACACCCCTCACTTAGGCTATGGGGGTGTGTCAAATGTTGTAGCCTGTAGTGAGGTTTGTCTTAGGGGGTACAGAAGTTAGGGTTTGTCATATGTACCCCAACCAACATCAATGCAACACTCATTCCTCATTCTGACACGAAACTCTACCAAGTTGCTGGCGCAACATCATTCCCATAGCAGAAACTCTCTCGTTATTGCTACGCTCTCTAATATATTCCTTCAGGCGCTCCTCACGCCGCACGTAACGCCGTGAATCACGGCCCTCGCAGACCTGGAAACCCCAAGCCGCTCCATGCAGCAGCAAATCAGCGCCAAGGCGGAGTTTCCCGCCACAAGGGGAGCGGAGGAGCAGTTGTCAACAGCGCATTCCGCGCAGCCAGCATCAACGGCGTGGAGATCCGACATCGTTCCAGTCACGAGCGCCGCAGGCGGGGCAGCCGCGGCCGCACCATTGTCACGTCAGCGCACTCGCCACAGCGCAGCAGTGGCGCTGGAATGAATAACGGCCCAGGTGCGATGGCGACTTCCCAGGCGTCACTGTCACACTTGAGCGGGGACATGCGCGGGGAGTTCCGCAAGGCTGGAGCCTCTGACGTGGTGTTGCACAGGAGGAATGGTGGCAGTAATAGAAATGAGCAGGGCGTGAATGATCATGAGATTGTGGGGATGGCCGCATTTGCACAGAATAGCTCGGCTGGTGGTGGTGATTACAGTGGTGGTGATTACAGTGGTGGTGAGTACAGTGGTAGTGATTATGGTGGTGGTGACTATAATGGAGGCAGCCATGGTGGCGATAATAATGGAGGCAACAACGATGATGACTATAATGGTGGTGTAACGGTGACTGGTGAAAACGGTGGTGACTATCCTGGTGGTGACTTTAGTGATTTTGTCGCTGTTGACAGCGTTGTTGTCAATGGGGAGGGCTGCCGCTGTGTTGGTGGTGATGGTGGAAACGGCGACAGTGGAAACGGCGGTAGCGGCGGAAGCATCGACATCACCGGGATTCTCGAGGAGCACAACAAGGCACGAAAGGAAGTGGGTGTGCCCGACCTGGCGTGGGATGAGAAAATAGCAGCATCAGCACAGGCATGGGCAGCCTTCCTGGCATCCCTCGGTTGCCCTCTGGAGAACAATGGAGAAGAGGGGTTCGGGAAGAACCTCTATTGGCTGTCGTCCGCAGAGCTAACCCCAAGGGAGGATCGTAGGGCGGTGCAGTCATGGGTGGAAGAGAAGGCGGACTGGACCCCCAGCCCGGTTCCTGATGGGTGTGCGGAAGGCAAGATGTGTGGGCACTACACGCAGGTGGTATGGCGCGAGACCACTCGTGTCGGCTGCTCCTCTGCTCAGTGCCCTGATGGCTCGGGCATTTGGGTGTGCGACTACTTGCCCCCGGGCAACTTCGCTGGTGAAACTCCTTTCTAGAGTGCGTGCCAGTGGAATGGTGCAGGAAAAGGGTTGTACTGTTGAGATCAGAACTTTTCCAGGTGATGGGACTGTTTGGGAATGGAAGTATACTGCAGCAATGTGGAAGAGGATGGACTAGTGGGCTGCAGGTGTATGTGTAGGGAGCCAGTGAAACCGAGAGTTGTTTGAGATTGTTCTCTTGTTATTCCAATGTGAAGTTTGTTCACTGATTTGGAACAAATGAGACTGCATGTGTGCTTTTGGTGCAAGGACTTCAAGCTCGTTGGAACCTTGAGGGTTTGCCGATCAGTTTGATTCTCACACAGTTCTGTTCACTGGGATCACGTATCAGGCCTCTCTTTGGTGTTCACTTCACTTCGTTCCAACATGCTTGTTTTGATTGCCTGCTATGGCTACATATGTATATACGGTATATATATATATATATATATATTACAGATTTGCTCTGTATGTGCTCCTTGTGCAACCATCTCAAGAGAGTGATGTGCTCTCACAGAGGGTCTGTGTGATATGGGGAATTCGCCATGTAGCTGCGCCAGGGGCTGGCATATACGTTTGTCCAACTCCTTCCTAGGCCACCTGCCAGTGGAGGGCAGGGCTGGCAGTAACCTAGGATTCTGGTATTGGTTGGCATACCAACTTGCTGGCCCTCTTATGGTGCTTTAGTTCAGATGCTTTCTAAGCACCTTATCAGGGATGAATAGAGGATTGCTGAAGTTTTTGCAATGTTTTCTCATAACATCCTGTCAGTTATTTATAACGTGGATCTGTGTGATTTTGGCCAGTACACCCGTGGCTCTCCTCAACCTTTTATGGCCCCAACAGCCTCGAGTTTACCTTCAATTCCCTAGATTTCTGTTTCTCAATTTATCTCTTGCGTAAAACCCTCAGAACCAGAGAAAACCGGTAAACAACGTATTCTGCCGTCCGGTAAAGTAGCAAACCGTACTTATCACACATTTCAAGTCGCCCTGATCCGATACAGGTGGTCTGCTTGGTTGTTGGATTTGGAGGATTTTCTGTTCTCGCTGCTGAGTGACTGACTTGTGGCGAGGCGACCATCAACGGTGTGACTAGCGTAACATACCCGAACGGGCATTACTAGTTGTGGTTGACAACGGTTACAGGTAGTCTTCCCACCATCTCCGGTAGGCACTTATCCTTGTTGCATTAAAAACGAACCCTGCACCATTCCTCACCAACTCGTAGTCTTCACCGTCCGTTTTGAGACGTCTTCTATCACGTGTCTTCACCGTCACTAGTGTTGTTGACCCTTCCGTAGCATTGACCGCCCGCAGTCAGCCTTTCTCTGTAGACAGTCCCTGCGATTTCAGATGCCCGTCGCAACGGCCTGATGGATTCTCGAGGACTCAGTGGGCGACGCGGCGTGGGTGGGTCGCCACATGCCGCCAACGCGTCGCAGACGACGGCTCTGCGACCCAGCAGCGGGTCGCCTGCGAGGTCCGCCTCACCCGCCCGAAGCGGCGTCAGCAGCGCAATTCCCGGAGCCAGCTTAGTCACGTCATCCACGTCAGCGTCCGGCGATCCGCGGAGGGGCGGAGGCGGAAGCGGAAGCTCCTCCCCCGTCCTCCGCCACGCGGCGCGCGGGCCTTCGTTTAAGTCACAGCAGCCGCGCCGCGATTCGCGCCGCAATCCGCTCTTGCAATTCGGCCTCCAGTGCCTTACAACTTCCGCCGCCATTCTCCTCTTCGCGTTACTGTTCACGGCCGACGCGATCATATCTACGATTTTATCCTCCCCTAGGTCTACCTCCCCCGGCTCGTCCTCCCTATCGGTCGTCTCCGATCCCTTCGGCTCTGTCCACGTGGCAGTAGGCGACGGGTCAGGCGCAAGGAGACGAGCCGCGGAGTACGAAAAAGAGGCCTATCAGAACCTCCCCGCCTCTGGCGGCGGAAAAGGCGGGAACGGGGAAGGCGGATCTGTGCGGGGAGGCGCGGAGAAGCAAGCGGGGAGCGCAAGGGGGGGAGTGGCAGAGGCGGGGGGCCGCGCGGAGGTGCGGTGGCGCGCGGAGAGGCTGCGTGTGCAGTGGTCGGGTCCGCCCATGGGGGAGGAGGTGCAGCAGCGCGTGGCAGCGGCGACGGCGGTGGTGGCGGATGAGCGGAAGAGGCTCAACGCGCAGCCGTTCCAGCTGCACATTCTGGTGAGTGGTGGAGCTCGGTGTAGCGTTGTGGTGAGTGGTTGAGGCCGGTTCAGCTACACGTTGTGGCGAGATGAGATGAGACCGGTGCAATCAGGCTCACATTGTGGTGGAGGAGGATGAGCGCAAGAGGCCCAATGCGCAGCCGTTCCAGTTGCACATTCTTATGAGTGGTTGAGCTCGATGCAGCTTTACTGCACATTCTGGCCAGTGCTCGTGTTTCAAGTTGATTTTTTCCAAACCCCTCCCTTTTTCTTTTCCCCTTCCCCATCCTATTCTCCTTCCCCCTCCCTCTCCCTCGCCTTACTCATTCCCATTCCCCCTTCGCCTCGTCCCCCATTGACAGGTGAGAGCGGAGTGTGACAGCAAGGGGTTGAAGGCGCTGCTGCAGTCACATCACTGCAGGACGTGAAATACGGAGAGGACGAGGTGCAACTCACCGCTTCCTCCTTCCCCCTTCCCCCTTCCTTCCATCCCTCCCATCCCTCCCGCCCTCGTCCCCTCCTTCTCCCTACCTGCACAGGTGAGAGCGGAGTGCGACAGCAAGGGGCTGAAGGCGCTGCTGCAGTCACTGCAGGACGTGAAGTATGGAGAGGACGAGGCGCAGCTCACAGTGGCGACAACCTGCAGTGCTGCTGCCCGGAGTGCCCAGGTGAGGAAGAGAGGGTTACAGATGTCACATGATACACTCACCTGCTGCAGACACTGCACTGCAGGACGTGAAGTATGGCGAGGACGAGGTGCAGCTCACTCACCGTGGCTATCACCTGTAGGCTGTAGCGCTGCTGCAAGGAGCGCACAGGTCAGAGGATGTCCTCGATATAGAGTCATACGATACTGTCCTGCTAGAGTCACCTGCTGCAGGCACGGCACTGCAGGACGTGAAGTGTGGCGAGGACGAGGTGCAGTGCAGCTCACAGTGCTGACAGGTGAGAGCGGAGTGCGACAGCAAGGGGCTGAAGGCGCTGCTACAGTCACTGCAGGACGTGAAGTATGGAGAGGACGAGGTGCAGCTCACTCACAGTGGCCACCGCCTGCAGTGCTGCTGCCACGAGTGCTCAGGTGAGAGGAAAACACGTGCTCCTGCTACAGTCACCTGCTACAGTCACCTGATACAGTCACCTGCTACAGTCACCTGCCACATTTACCTGCCACAGTTCCCTGCTAAGTCATAGAGGGATAGAGCTTAGAGAGGCTCTCAGGTGTGGAAGAGGGATAGAGGTGAGGACCTCTTTTCCCGCCTCCTCCCTCCATCCACCCTTTCCTCTCCCAATCCCCACAGGAGTTCCCTTGGTTCCACGGCCCGAGGCGCATAATCGAGCTATCAGGCAACAGCGCCAAGCCCACCAACCCGCTGCCCCTCTGGTTCCCCGCCTCCCCCCGCGAGTTCCTCCTCCTCCTCGACCCCTCCCTCCTCCTTGACTCTTGACCCCTGCTCCCTCCCAGCCTCTCCGTCCCCTTCAGGCTTTGCCAGATTCCCTCCAATGCTTCAAAGATGCTCTCACCCATCCCTCCTCCCTCACTTTCCCCCCTCCCATTCCTCCCCCACCCAGGAGTTCCCCTGGTTCCACGGGCCGAGGCGCGTAATCGAGCTATCAGGCAACAGTGCCAAGCCCACCGACCCGCTGCCCCTCTGGTTCCCCGCCTCCCCCCCGCGAGTTCCTCCTCCTCCTGGACCCCTCCTCCCACCTCTCCCCCGGGCTTTACCCCGAGCTTAAAGCCCTCGCTCTCGCGCCCGCTGTTGCTGGTAGCCCTCACGCACACACTGAAACCTTCCCGTCCCCGTCTTCCCATCCGCCTCCCACCCACAGGAGTTCCCCTGGTTCCACGGGCCAAGGCGCGTAATCGAGCTATCAGGCAACAGCGCCAAGCCCACCGACCCGCTGCCCCTCTGGTTCCCCGCCTCCCCCCGCGAGTTCCTCCTCCTCCTGGACCCCTCCTCCCGCCTCTCCCCCGGCCTCAACCTCGTGCTTAAAGCCCTCGCCCTCGCACCCGCTGTTGCTGGTAGCCCTCACGCACACACTGAAACCTTCCCGTCCCCGTCTTCCCATCCGCCTCCCAATCCCCACAGGAGTTCCCCTGGTTCCACGGGCCAAGGCGCGTAATCGAGCTATCAGGCAACAGCGCCAAGCCCACCGACCCGCTGCCCCTCTGGTTCCCCGCCTCCCCCCGCGAGTTCCTCCTCCTCCTCGACCCCTCCTCCCGCCTCTCCCCCGGCCTCTACCTCGTGCTTAAAGCCCTCGCCCTCGCACCCGCTGCTGCTGGCAACCCTGCCGCTTTCACAGTGGAGGCAAGCGTATCGGGGTTTTATGGGGGCTATGGGGGAGAGGGTGGTGGGGAAGGGGCAGGGGAGAAGGGAGGACGGGAGCGAAGCAGCAGCAGCAGCAGCAGCAGCAGCAGCAGCAGCAGCAGCAGCAGCGGTGGTGGTGGGGACAGTAGCGGAGGGGATAGTATCGGAAGTGACAGTAGCGAGGAGGAGAGCACGGGTGCGCATGTGTCAGGGCTGTTTGGGATCGCTCTAGACCCAGACTCACCCTTCCTCGCCGAAGACTCGCCCATCATGACGGGCTTTAAGCGCCCAGAAGAAACCCTAATAGGGGGAGCAACATCAGCAGCAGGCGCAGCAGCCGAAGGAGCAGGACGGGCAGCAGGAAGGGCAGCAGCAGGAGGAGGGGCAGGGGGAGAAGTGGGGGTGGGGGTGCTGTCGCTGGCCATGGCTCGCTCATGCCAGGTGGTGTTTCCTCAGCCGTGGCGGCAGTTCTGGGCGTGGCATGCGCTGTCGCAGGCCCAGCAGGTCAACTCCGCCCATCTCAAGTTCGACTGGGATGCCTATGACTTCAGCGCCCCCTGCCGGGAAGGTGAGACGGTTAGGAGCAGTAGGAGGGGTAGGAGGAGCGGGAGGGGTGGGAGGGGCGGGGGAAGGGCGGGGGGAGCGGGGGCACGCGGGGGGAGCACGGGGAGAAGCGGGAATGGGGGTGCTGTCATTAGCAATGGCTCACTCATGCCAGGTGGTGTTTCCTCAGCCGTGGCGGCAGTTCTGGGCGTGGCATGTGCTGTCGCAGGCCCAGCAGGTCAACTCCGCCCATCTCAAGTTCGACTGGGATGCCTATGACTTCAGCGCGCCCTGCAGGGAAGGTGAGATGGAGAGAGGGAGGGAGGTGTCTGGTTGGGCAGTTCTGGGCGTGGCACGCGCTGTCGCAGGCCCAGCAGGTCAACAGCGCTCACCTCAAGTTCGACTGGGAGGCAAGGCAGGGAAGGTGAGACGGTGGGAGGGGTCCAAATCGGCGAGCAAGCTTCCTGACATACGTATGTGGATGAGAACGACCTTTGTTTGTAACCTTCTGCTACTCCTGCCGTGCACACTCCCACTTTGTTTCTCGCGTACCAACCACACGCACACACTTTCTCCCTCTCCCTGTGTCAACCGGCAGATTGGCAAGTCTGCTTCCTGACATACGTGGAAGAGAACGACCTTTGTAACCTTATGCTGCGCACACTCCCTTGCTGCACCCCTACCTTTCCCCACTACCACTCCACCTATCAGACTGGCAAGTCTGCTTCCTGACATACGTGGAAGAGAACGACCTTTACAATCTCATCTGAGAACGACCTTTACAATCTCATGTGACTCTCTTTCCCATCTGCCTTCCCCTTCCCCTGCCACTCCCCCCTTCAGACTGGCGAGTGAGCTTCCTAACATACGTGGAGGAAAACGACCTTTACAACCTTATGCTACGCACACTCGATCCTCAAGAGGTGTGTGTATAAGTGTGTGTGTGTGTGTGTGTGTGTGTGTGTGTGTGTGTGTGTGTGTGTGTGTGTGTGTGTGCGTGCGCACGGGGGGGGGAGAGGTGAGAATCCTCCCTCCTCAACGCGCGCCCATTTTTTTTTTAGGTCAGTTTCGAGAATTCTCACCTCTCCCCCTCAAAAACCCAAGCAACGCATCCTTTCCACCCACCTCTCCCCCACATATTTTCCTTCTCCCATCATCATCCCACCTTCCCCTCAATAATCCCACCCATCTTCCCATCATCCCACCCTTGTTTCCATCCTCCCCTTCCTCCCACCCTACTCCCTACAAGCCTTTCCATGCGTCTCTTCTTCTCGACCGATTCCAAACCCCCTCTCGCCTACCCACCCACTTCCTGATCCCCCACCTGCTCTTCATCCCATCCTCTTCCCCTCTCGTCTCCACCCATAGTCTATCCTCCCATGCTTCCCATGTTTCAACCCCTACAGGACCTGAACAGCCCCACACGTCTCTGCTACTCCATCAACTCCCAACCCCCTCTCGCCTACCCAACCCCTCCCCGTCCCTCCACCCATTCCTCGTCACCCATCCCACCCCTATTTGAACCCTTTGCATCTTTCCCCCCTACAGGACCTGAACAGCCCCACTCGTCTCTGCTACTCCATCGACTCCCAACCGTCTTTTGAGGCGCCTCTAAAGTCGCCTTATATGCGTCCCACGTTTCCACCCTTACAGGACCTGAGCAGCAACACACGTCTCTGCTATTCAATCGACTCCCAACCCCCTCTCGCCTACCCAACCGCCACCCCCACCCTCCTCCCGCTCCCCTCCGCGCTCCGCCTCTCCTCCTCCCTCTCCCTCCACCTCACCACGTCCCCGCGCTCCCTCGCGCCTCTGCCCCGGGTGGACCATTGTGGGAGGGAGGTGCCGCGGGGGGAGGTGGCGTGGAGTGTGGGCGAGCTGAGAGGGCTGCTGCAGCGCATTGCCCGGCACTCTGCTGTGGCTGGCGTCATGGTGTCACCTGGATACGATGATATGCTCAACAACTGGGTCTGCTACGTCAAGGTGGGTGCAGTGGGTGTGCAAGAGTAGTCCCGTGTTACGCCAGGATACAGTGCATTGCGTGCCACCCTGTGGTGGCATGGAGTGCGGGCGAGGTGAGAGGGGTTGCTGTAGCCAGGCACTTCGCTGTGGCGGGAGTCATGGTGTCTCCGGGCTATGATGACATGCTCAACAACTCGAGTGACTTTTGAGGCTACCTCGAACGTGGTCATGGTGCGCGGCACTCGAACGTGTTCGAGGCGAACCGAACAGGTTTCTTATTTTTAGCTTTAATTGTTCGCCCGAACGTGTTCGAGGTTCGCCCGAACACGCCTTCACAGGCGAATGCGGATGGGTGAGTGTGGGGGAGGGATGGGTGAGTGTGGGGGAGGGATGGGTGAGTGTGGGGGAGGGATGGGTGAGTGTGGGGGAGGGATGGGTGAGTGTGGGGGAGGGATGGGTGAGTGTGGGGGAGGGATGGGTGAGTGTGTGGGAGGGATGGGTGGGTGTGGGGGAGGGATGGGTGAGTGTGGGGGAGGGATGGGTGAGTGTGGGGGAGGGATGGGTGAGTATGGGGGAGGGATGGGTGAGTGTGGGGGAGGGATGGGTGAGTGTGGGGGAGGGATGGGTGAGTGTGGGGGAGGGATGGATGAGTGTGGGGGAGGGAGGGGTGAGTGTGGGGGAGGGATGGGTGAGTGTGGGGGAGGGATGGGTGAGTGTGGGGGAGGGATGGGTGAGTGTGGGGGAGGGATGGGTGAGTGTGGGGGAGGGATGGGTGAGTGTGGGGGAGGGATGGATGAGTGTGGGGGAGGGATGGATGAGTGTGGGGGAGGGATGGATGAGTGTGGGGGAGGGATGGATGAGTGTGGGGGAGGGATGGATGAGTGTGGGGGAGGGATGGGTGAGTGTGGGGGAGGGATGGGTGAGTGTGGGGGAGGGATGGGTGAGTGTGGGGGAGGGATGGGTGAGTGTGGGGGAGGGATGGGTGAGTGTGGGGGAGGGATGGGTGAGTGTGGGGGAGGGATGGGTGAGTGGGGGAGGGATGGTGAGTGTGGGGAGGGATGGGTGGGTGTGGGGGAGGGATGGATGAGTGTGGGGAGGGATGGATGAGTGTGGGGGAGGGATGGATGAGTGTGGGGGAGGGATGGATGAGTGTGGGGGAGGGATGGGTGAGTGTGGGGGAGGGATGGGTGAGTGTGGGGGAGGGATGGGTGAGTGTGGGGGAGGGATGGGATGAGTGTGGGGGAGGGATGGATGAGTGTGGGGGAGGGATGGATGAGTGTGGGGGAGGGATGGATGAGTGTGGGGGAGGGATGGATGAGTGTGGGGGAGGGATGGATGAGTGTGGGGGAGGGATGGATGAGTGTGGGGGAGGGATGGATGAGTGTGGGGGAGGGATGGATGAGGTGGGGGAGGATGGATGAGTGTGGGGGAGGGATGGATGAGTGTGGGGGAGGGTTGGGTGAGTGTGGGGGAGGGATGGATGAGTGTGGGGGAGGGATGGATGAGTGTGGGGGAGGGATGGATGAGTGTGGGGGAGGGATGGATGAGTGTGGGGGAGGGATGGGTGAGTGTGGGGGAGGGATGGATGAGTGTGGGGGAGGGATGGATGAGTGTGGGGGAGGGATGGATGAGTGTGGGGGAGGGATGGATGAGTGTGGGGGAGGGATGGGTGAGTGTGGGGGAGGGATGGGTGAGTGTGGGGGAGGGATGGGTGAGTGTGGGGGAGGGATGGGTGAGTGTGGGGGAGGGATGGGTGAGTGTGGGGGAGGGATGGGTGAGTGTGGGGGAGGGATGGGTGAGTGTGGGGGAGGGATGGGTGAGTGTGGGGGAGGGATGGGTGAGTGTGGGGGAGGGATGGGTGAGTGTGGGGGAGGGATGGGTGAGTGTGGGGGAGGGATGGGTGAGTGTGGGGGAGGGATGTGTGAGTGTGGGGGAGGGATGGGTGAGTGTGGGGGAGGGATGGGTGAGTGTGGGGGAGGGATGGGTGAGTGTGGGGGAGGGATGGGTGAGTGTGGGGGAGGGATGGGTGAGTGTGGGGGAGGGATGGATGAGTGTGGGGAGGGATGAGTGTGGGGGAGGGATGGATGAGTGTGGGGGAGGGATGGATGAGTGTGGGGGAGGGATGGATGAGTGTGGGGGAGGGATGGATGAGTGTGGGGGAGGGATGGATGAGTGTGGGGGAGGGATGGGTGAGTGTAGGGGAGGGATGGATGAGTGTGGGGGAGGGATGGATGAGTGTGGGGGAGGGATGGATGAGTGTGGGGGAGGGATGGGTGAGTGTGGGGGAGGGATGGATGAGTGTGGGGGAGGGATGGATGAGTGTGGGGGAGGGATGGATGAGTGTGGGGGGAGGGATGGATGAGTGTGGGGGAGGGATGGGTGAGTGTGGGGGAGGGATGGGTGAGTGTGGGGGAGGGATGGGTGAGTGTGGGGGAGGGATGGATGAGTGTGGGGGAGGGATGGATGAGTGTGGGGGAGGGATGGATGAGTGTGGGGGAGGGATGGATGAGTGTGGGGGAGGGATGGATGAGTGTGGGGGAGGGATGGATGAGTGTGGGGGAGGGATGGGTGAGTGTGGGGGAGGGATGGATGAGTGTGGGGGAGGGATGGATGAGTGTGGGGGAGGGATGGGTGAGTGTGGGGGAGGGATGGATGAGTGTGGGGGAGGGATGGATGAGTGTGGGGGAGGGATGGATGAGTGTGGGGGAGGGATGGGTGACCAGGGATGGCGAACACCCTTTTTTGGGGAAGTTCGGTTCGCCGAGCGGCCATGTTCGTGCAAGGGCGGCCATGTTCGTGCAAGGTTCGTGCAAGGTTAGTGGGGAGGGTAACATCTGGGGCCGGTTCGCCGAGCGGCCATGTTCGTGCAAGGGCGAACGCGAACATAATCGCTCGCGTTCGCCCTTTGCTCAACCCTATCGGGACCCCCATGTTTTGTCCGTCTTTCGTCCAGGGTATTTTTGAGAATTCTCGAAAATGTCCTACTTGGCCCTCTTGCTCTCTGCTTATCAGCACTTGCTTCCCTCTCACCCAATTGTCCCACCTCCCCCTGCAGGAGCTTCAAATCCAAAACTCCGTTATAGTCACAGTGTCTTCACGTATTACCACACACTGCCTTCCTCCCTCTCACAGTATCTTCGCGTACCCTCCCTTCCTTCTCTCCTCCCATCCCCCATACAGGAGCTTCAAATCCGAAACTTCTTTATAATCACGCAGGACCCAGCAACACACGCACTCTCTCTCATTATCAGCACTTTCCCCCCTCTCGTCCCGATTCTCCCACCCCCCACAGGAGCTTCAAATCCGAAACTTCTTTATAATCACGCAGGACCCGGCACACGCGTTCTCCTTGAAGCGGAGGGGCTTTGCAGTGTACTGTGCTGGGTGCAGCAAGCCAGGGGCAGGCGAGGGTGTGGGTGGGGCAGGGCAGGAAGGGGCAGGAGCTGCTGCTGGTGCTGGTGCTGCTACTGATGGTGCTACTGCTGCTGGTTCGGACACTGTAGGTGCGGGTGGTGCTTCAGGCACAAGCGCTGGTGCCAATGCAACATCAGCAGCAGCAGGAGGAGCAGATGGAATGGGCCCTGGGAATAAGACTGCTGTTGGGGATGATTTGGCAGCAGCAGCAGCAGGAGGAGGTGGGGCAACAGCGGCAGCATCATCAGCAGCAGCAGTAGACACTAGAAGGGCAGCTCTAGACTACGGCAGTGTACCCTATAAAGAGTTCATTCTCGCGCGCACTAAAGCAGTAGGGGAGATCCTTAAAGCGGGTTACAACGTCCTTCTAGCTGATGCCGACGCTATATGGCTATCTGACCCATTCACCTCCCTTAAAGCCCAGGGAATTGATGTTCTAGCCCAGCTAGAAGAGAAAGGGAACCCATGCGGAGGGTTCTTGCTCCTGGTTCACACCCGAAAGCTTATCGTGCTCTGGGATTTACTGACTGCTATGTTTGAGCAGCATATCGACTGGCTTAAAACGCATCCCTCTAAAAGGGATCCGGACGAGTACCGGAGGTTCCTGCGCTCGCAGCAGCACAACCACGAGCAGAAGTTTTTAAACGATTTACTTAGGCAGAAGAGATACGCAGTGCAGCTGCAGGGGCTGGATCCGCTGCTGTTTATCAATGGGAGGGACTACTGGGACCGGAGGAAGGCACAGAAGGAAGGGGTGACGCCGGTGATGATTCACAACAACTACATCATCTCCAAATGGAACAAGACGAGGAGGTTTCTCATTAAGGGCATGTGGCGGGTCGACCATAGAGGTGAGTGGTCGGGGAGGTAACAACTAGGGGCGGAAACATCTGGTGGAGGTAATTTCTGGAAAATCTGATAGTGAATGCAGTGGGAGGCGCTGAAGGAGGGGTTGACGCTGGTGATGATTCACAACAACTACATCTCCAAATGGAACAAGACGAGACGGTTCCTCATATCAAGGGCATGTGGCGGGTGGACCACGGAGGTGAGAGGAGTGTGCCAAGTGTGATGAGGCGATTTTTGAGTCGACTCAAAAATCGTCTTAGGAGAAGTAGAGCGAGCCTTGTACGAAAATCCACGGGCGAGCCACCTACAAAAATCCCCTATTCACGCACTCACGCTCCTATCCTCCTGTGATGAGGCGATTTTTGAGTCGACTCAGAAATCGGACCATGGAGGTGAGAGGAGTGTGCCAAGTGCCTGCCTGCCCGGCTCTCTTTCGCATGCGACCCAGAGGTTTTGGTACCGCACCAGCAACCCCACACTCCCTGCATCCCTTGCTAATGAAACCAGTCTTTCTCCTCCCATTTTCCCTCCATCCACTGGTGACTGCCCAATCCCCAACCTCCATTTTCCTCCCAGGCCAAGCGTGCAAGTGCCTGGCTCTCTCCTGCACGCGTCCCAAGGACCCTTGGTCACTCACCAGCAACCCCACCCTCCCTGCTGCGCTGAGGGCCACGGCTGGGATCAAGCCGCAATCTCTGCCCAAGCGAAGGCGAGGAGGAGGCAGCAAGCAGAAGAGCCAAGTAGGGCCTGTTCCTGCCACAAACTCTACTTTCGCCACGGCTGGTGGTGCTGGTGCTGCTGGTGGTGCTGGTGCTGGTGGTAAGGCTGGTGGTGCTGCTGGGAGGGCAGCAAAGCTAGTCGGAAGCCTGTTGAGAAGTGTGGTTGGGAGCGGGAGGAAGGATGCTGAGACGGGAGGGGCAGAGAAGGGAGGAGGGTTGAAGGAGGGTAAAGCAGCCCAAGGAGCAGCAAAACCACTGGGAAAAGAAGTGCAAACGGGGAAGAAGATGGAGCTCCAGCAGCAGCAGAAATTGACAGGGAGAGGGACAGGGACAGGGACAGGGGCAGTGAGAGTAGGTACTACTGCTAGAGGTTCTAAGGGCAGTGATGCTGTTGCAGCCGCTGCTGCTGATGCTGCTGCGGATGCCGCAGCAGCTGCTGCTCTTTCTGCTGCTGGCAATGAGGCACAGGGAAGGGAGCCGCTCAAGACCGCGCAGGGAAAGGAGTCAAAGGCAAAGGCTACAATTGGAAAAGGTTTAGAGTCAGGGCCGAACAGGGGTAAAGGGATGAGGGCAGCAGCAGCGGATGCAGGAGAATCAGGGAAAGGAGGGAGAGAAACTGCAGCGGTTGGTGGGAGGGGAGCAGCTAAGGGTGCGAGGGGGAAGAGCGGTGTTGTGAGGCCTGGCCAGGTGAAGGGGATTGAGAGTAAGGTAATTCAGAAGGGCAGGCAGCGGCTGCAACAAGTAGCCAAGAGAGGAGGGAAGGGTGTGCAGCGGGTAAAGCGTTAAGGCATGTTTCTGTAATACCGCAAGTTCAATGTAGTGATGTCGCAAGCACTCAACCAACTCGAATCCACGTTACGGCACAGTACTGTATATGTTTTACGTGTTGCCTGCTGCTGAACAGGTCTAACGATCAGACGACACACGAATTGTGCACATAAATGATGCATGAATCTTGAAGGAAATTGCACAGGTTGGACTACTGGATTGGTTGCTCCATCCAAGCATGCATGGAAACAACAATGCATGTTCCTCAACTTCATGTCCTTACCCCCACCCCCCCAATCTCCCCCCCCCCCCCCCCCCCCCCCCCCCCCCCGCTCCTTTGAGGCTAAACCTAGTAATTTTACTGGGTTCTGAATTCTCCCTATCCTCTTAAGCATGATCGCCAATCCTCCTCTGTGTCCTTGGGTCGCCAGAAGAAGCCCGCTTGAAACCAGAGGAGCAACACCTCAATGCTTTCACTCTGGTTGAACACGTGACTCCACATTTCAAGTATCTAGGGCAAGCATCAAGCTGCCTCCTCCTCTGCTTCCTTGGGTCGCCAGAAGCCCTTTTGGAACGCCAGCAGCACCTCTCCGCCCTCGGTCTTGTTGAACTTGAGGCGCCAGCGGAAGGATGTTGCGATGTTGAGGATAGACCCCCCCATGCGGGTATGGTCACGGAACACTGCCCAGCCCTCTGGGCGAAGCAGACGATCCATCTCGAGCAGCACAGACGTGATGTCACACCTGGTGAGGAAGTACCCGGGACAGGGTTGTGGTGGCAGTGGGAGCGGTGGGGGTGGGGATGGGGGTAGGGTGGTGAGTTTGGGGTGGAGGGACAAGGTACAGGTGGTCCCCCCCATGCGGGTATGGTCGCGGAACACTGCCCAGCCCTCCGGGCGGAGCAAGCGATCCATCTCGAGCAGCACAGATGTGATGTCACACCTGGGAGGAGCACAGTTGTAAAAAAACGGAGGGACAAGGCATGAAACGACCCCCCCATGCGGGTATGGTCGCGGAACACGGCCTCCCCTCCGGGCGGAGCAGACGATCCATCTCGGGCAGCACAGCGGTGATGTCACACCTGGTGGTGATAATGGTAAGGGAGGTGGGGAGTGGGGAGGGCGGAGTAGAGGACTGGGGACCATGCCATTCCATAAATCGTGTTGACTTTTGAGTCGACTCAAAAGTCAACTCGGAGTAGAGGACTGGGGAGCCTGCCATTCCATAAATCGTGATCGATGCCCATCAGTCCGCTATCATCAACATGGGCAAGTCACAGAAGCAAGAATGAGCGTGGGCAGGCGTTTCTCACCTGCCAACCTCCTGTGAGACAGTATGATCGGCGTGAAGCATGTCGTGGGAGCGAGGGTACGAGTTGAACGGCTCGCACCAGTCGTGGTAGATGCCCACCAGCCCGTTCTTACAAACGCAATGAGCAGGTTGCACGCACAAGCATGAATGAGCATGCGCTATTCTCACCTGCCAACCTCCTGTGAGACGGTATGGTCAGCGTGCAGAAAGTCATAGGAGCGCGGGTACGAGTTGAATGACTCGCACCAGTCGTGGTAGATGCCCACCAGCCCACGCTCAAACACTATCGGAAGCGAGTCGGGGCCACTTGTCGGCACCACGTTCAGCACCCACAGGGGCTTCTTTGACACTGCCAGCTCTGCTGCGAAGCTGGAGAGCGGCGTAGAGGGATGGGGACAGGTGGGGAGGGATGGAGGGTTGGTGGTAGTCGGGGCCACTCGTGGGCATCACGTTCGCATTGTGCTCCAATCCATATTCACTGCTTCAACCTTAGCGTGTGCATAAGACATGCTCTGCAACCATATCTCACCCTCCACACAGTCACACTCACCCTCCACACAGTCACACTCACCCTCCACACAGTCACACTCACCCGCCATAGTGCGAGTTCACGTCCATCACATTCCGCACTGTGCTCCAGTCGATGTTTGATGATTCCCCACATGCTCCTTATAAACCTCCCACTCCATAGAGTCACACTCACCCGCCATACGATCACACTCACCCGCCGTACGATCACACTCACCCGCCATACAATCACACTCACCCGCCATAGTGAGCGTTCATGTCCATCACGTTCCGCACTGTGCCCCAGTCGATGCCAAAAGAAGCATCGTAGAACGCAACCACCTTCTTCCAGTGGATCTGCGAGGGATGGGGGGCGGGGAGGGTGAGGGGACAGGGGGGAGGGTGAGCTTATTTTAGAGTCGACTCAATATTTGGCTCGTCGATGCCAAAGGAAGCATCGTAGAACGCAAAAACCTTCTTCCAGTGGATCTGGAGAGGGGGAAGGGTGCGGTGCGTGGGTGGCCATGTGATAAAAAGTGTAGTTTTGAGACGTCCCAAAACTGCCATAGGATGCATCGTAGAACGCAACGACCTTCGTCCAGTGGATCTGGGAGAGATGGGGAAAGGCGGAGGGGGACAGGGACGGCGAGGACATTACGTGTAAGCACAGAGGTAAGAAGCAACGTGTAATCATGTATAATTTCAAATAAACATGATCCATGAGAATATCTCCTTCGACCCACCTGATCCCAGTTTATTTCACCAGTCCCATTTCAGTCCCACGTCCCATTTCAGTCCCACTTCATCTCATATGACTCCAACATTGCATCTTAACCCATTTTATTCTGGATCGTTTCATCTCATCTCACACCTGCACTCGCTTCATCTCATCTCACCTGGTTGCGTTTCATCTCATCTCACCCGGTCGCGTTTCATCTCATCTGACCTGGTCGCGTTTCATCTCATCTCACCTGGTCGCGTTTCATCTCATCGGACCTGGTCGCGTTTCATCTCATCTTACCTGGTCGCGTTTCATCTCAGCAACAGCGGGCCCACCGAACACCCCTCGTTTGAGCATCTGCAGCCACGCAGGCACGGCCCTCAGCCTCGCCCTGCCCATGGCTGGCCACTGCGCCGCCCGCATACCCTTGAACGCCGGCACGGGATTCAGGCATGCTTTCATTGGCACATACCTGGAGAGAAGGGGGAGTGGGGGTGGGGGGTAGAAAGAGAGTTGGTCAGCCACGCAGGCACGGCCCTTGAGGCGCCTCAAAAGAGAGTTGGTCAGCCACGCAGGCACGGCCCTTGAGGCGCCTCAAAAGAGAGTTGGTCAGCCACGCAGGCACGGCCCTTGAGGCGCCTCAAAAGAGAGTTGGTCAGCCAAACAGAGGCAGCCAAACAGAGGTAGTCAAACAGCAGGCACGGCCCTCAGCCTCGCCCTGCCCATGGCTGGCCACTGCGCCGCCCGCATACCTTTAAAGGCCGGGACAGGGTTCAGACACGCCTTCATGGGAACGTACCTGGGGCAGGGAGGAATGGGGTTGGGGATGGTATGGGGGAGACAAAAGAGAGGCAGCCAAACAGAGGCAGCCAAACAGAGGCAGTCAAACAGCAGGCACGGCCCTCAGCCTCGCCCTGCCCATGGCTGGCCACTGCGCCGCCCGCATACCTTAAAGGCTGGGACAGGATTGAGGCATGCCTTCATGGGCACGTACCTGGGGGCAGGGAGGAATCGGGGTGGTGGGGAAATAGAAAGAGCGAGGCGGTCAGACACGTAAGGGAAGGCCCTCAGACTCGCCCTGCTCATGGCTGGCCACTGTGCCGCCCTCACTCCCTTGAACACCGGCATGGGGTTTAGGCATGCTTAAGGGGGAGAAGTGGGAGAAAGGGGAGAAGGGGGGAAGCTGGCGTGTGGAACAAGAGGTGGTCAGACCCCCTCGTCTATTACCCCTCTACTGACTCACTCTTCCCTGCCTTCCTCCTTGCCCTCCTCCTAACCCCCTTCCCGTCCCCTTTCCCTGTCCCCTTCCCTGTCCCCTTCCCTGTCCCCTTCCCTGTCCCCTTCCCTGTCCCCTTCCCTGTCCCCTTCCCCATCCCCTTCCCCCCTCTCACGACTCACCAGGCAGCATCGGGGTTGTCGTCCGATTCACACATGGGAGGCGGGGTCCCTGCACTGCGCTCGCTGTAGCAGCGGTTATCAGAGGGCTTCTGCCACACGGCCACGCCCACGTTGTCCAGCCCGTCCTCTTTCTCCCGCACCTTCAACGTCCAGCACATGCGCTCTGCCAGGTCAGTCATTGCTGCGGTTCGGAGTGGTGGTGGTGTAAGGGGGTGGTGGTGGTGGTGGTGGGAGGGATAAAGCAGGCTTCTGCCAAACCTCATGCGGCCTAGCCCACATTATCCAGCCCATCCTCCCTCTCCCTCACTTTCAGCGTCCAGCACATGCGCTGCGCCAGATCACTCATTGCTGCAAAAACAAAAAACAAAGCGTGGGTGTGGGGGTTGGAAGGGGATGGGCAGGGATGGGAGAAAGGTGTGCAGAGAGAGAGGGGGTAAGGTGAGGAAAAACGGAATGAATACTGGGCGTGCCACAGACAAGAGCACGAGAGGGTTCGTTCAGAGGGCTTTTGCCAAATTGGTGCGACTTTTGAGAATTCTCACAAGTCGCATCACTTGTGCAGAGAGGGGGTAAAGTGAGGTAAAACGGAATGAATAATGGGCGTGCAAGAGAGAGGGTTCGTTCTCATGTGTGAATCGGCGGGCTTCTGCCACACGGCCACGCCCACGTTGTCCAGCTCGTCCTCCTTCTCCCTCACCTTGAGTGTCCAGCACATGCGCTGCGCCAGGTCAGCCATTGCTGCGGTGGAAATGGGGTGGTGGTGGTGCTAGTGGGGGGGGAGGGGGGGGGGGTGGAAGGGGATGACAGAGGATTGTTTTGAGGCGCCTCAAAACACACCTCAATGCACGCGGAAATGGGGTGGTGGTGGTGCTAGTGAGTGAGGGGGGGTGTGGAAGGGGATGACAGAGCTTCTGCCACACTCACCGCTCGAGATCCCCTCGTCATCCCCCTTGTGGAGATATACAGGCGTGGCCGACCAGATGCAGCATGGGCCTTTTCCATGCACTGACAGGCTACTCCTTCCACCCACTCATCCCGCCCTGCACCCACACTCACCACTGCCCACACTTACCGCTCCAGAT